CAAGCCCGGTTCAACCCATCATCGCAAAAAAATATAGAAAAAGGTCTTTTTCTTAACAGCGGTCGCCCCTCGGCAGGCAATGGCAAACCTCCGTGTATTTTTGACATGAAAAATAGGTTCTCATAAAAATATAATCGCGTGTGACAACATCAAGACGCACGCCAAAAATCAGAGGAGAATCTCGGCCAAACATTAACATATGTGTAAGCGCGAATCTATTATTATTATTAAGGCTGTTTATTTTGAAACTCATATTGTAATATGATAATTATTTTATCAATTAAATCGAATTACAATTTTTAACATTTGGCAACCCTCTTCAAAAATGTTTTTCATTAAGCTGCATATTTCTTTTTATTTAGCAATTAATTTTATCGACATTTTTCAAACAGGCTGCAACTGTATATTCTTTATGTTTTAAATCATAGCGAAAATAATTATAAAACCAATTTTTCTATTGTTGTTGTAATAAGATATCGCACACCGTCTTCAAAAGAGTCACAACTCAAAATAATCACGTGATAATTATATGGGAAAGGGCTGCTTTACCTTAGGTTTTTTTTTTTTAACAATTTATAACAAAAATTGTCTGCAGCTTTTACTGAAAGGTAAATACAAACTCTGTGTACACTTTTTAGATAAATTTTTAGTTTTGACTCTTTTAAAGACGGTGTGCGATATGTATGTATGGATATCGACTAGTTTATGCATCCAGACACTGCTCAATCAGGGCGTATTCGAAAATGAAAATAACTCCACTTGTATGTAAGCATGTATATGCATATGTATATACTAGGGATGTTAATCCCGGGATACCGCACTATTTTAAGTCCCGAAAATCCTGGGATTCTTGGAAAATAATTTTCGGGATTTGTAATTTGCAATGGTGGCAATAATAGAATGCCATATGTTGACCAGTTTTCGCTATATTTCTTTTGTTTAATATTTAATATTTTTTTATATATGTCTAGCTATACACATAACACCGTGACAGGCAATTTTACACCCAAAAAAATCAATATTTTCGCGAAGGCATGGGCCAAATATATGCAATAAAATTACGTTTTTAGCTTTTCTCTCTGACGTCAGGATTTTTTAAAAGGACTTTGAAAATTTAATAATATAAATAATTCCGAAAATGGTTTAAAATATTTAGGGC